GATCTGCTGGGGGGCGTAGTGGCCGGACTCCAGCAGTCGGTTGCCGACCGACATGATGCGGTTAATATTCACGTATACATTCTGTGAGCGGGTGGGGGGCGTAGGAGAGGAGAGGAGAGGAGGAGCAGGAGGAAGACAAATAATTAAACAGGGCGGTTGAAGAAGAGGGTCAAAACCAAACGGGCTCAGCCTGTGTGCGTTACCATGCAGTTCATGGCGAAGTGATTGTGCTGGGTTTGCAGCTCTACGGCGTGGGGATGGTTGTTGCCAATCTCGGTGTAGCCCGCCAGGAACAAACTCTTGTTGTGCGTGATCCAGTCAAACATCTGGACAGAGGAGGGGACGCACAAACATGAGAGTTAGAATACGCCGCAAAACAACTCGAGGAAGCACGGTCAAATATGCACTTTCAGAAATCACTGCAGTTGGCTGTGACGAAACCGTGCAGATTCATCATGACTGGGTTCGGTTGCTGCTGCTGCTGCAGTGTGCTCATTGTTGTTGTCATCTTTTCCAGGCCAGAACATGGAGAAATGGACTGCCTGCGTTGAAGACAATCCTCTCAGGCTCTCTCCAAGAGAACAACCTATGGCATGCGGTGTCCTAGCAACAAGCTCCTACTACTGCAGTGTATCCAAGACTGCAGCTCGTTCTGCCACTGCTGCTGCAATCTGCTATTTTATTCTGCTCACTCGAACATGAATATGTGAATATCTCACTCCGTCCATTCCTACTATGCAAGGCACCGTTCACTGCCTGGTAGGGATGTGACGATGCATCCTTACAACGATTCACATTGATTTTTTAAAAAAAATATAAATCGCAATGCATCGTAAGGAGTGGGCTGAAAAAGTCACTGAGACTACATCGTACGGTAAGTCTTGGTGAGTGACCTGCTATGAAACCAAGACATCACGTCACACACGTCACGTCACACACGTTCACTTGTTCAAACAGAGCGTAGGAAGATACGGTGGCGGTGAGCAGCGTTGACATAGAAGGTGCTGCGACCAATTGTAAATCAGCCACATTTTGGATTCTCATATTCCAAAGAAATGATCATTATATTTGGTCATAATTTGTTTGGAGCTAATTCTGTTAAAATAAAATTGTGATAAAATCGCATCGTAAACAAAAAGAAAATGACATAAAAAAATAAAATTATATATACATAAATATAAATAAATATATCCATATACACATATATACATACATATGCATATATATACATATATGTATGTATATATATATATGTTTGTATATATATATACAAACATATATATATATATACATACATATATGTATATATATGCATATGTATGTATATATGTGTATATATATACATATGTATGTATATATGTGTATATATATACATATATGTATGTATATATAAAGTATGTATATATGTATGTATATATAAAGTATGTATATATGTATGTATATATAAAGTATGTATATATGTATGTATATATATATATATATACATACATATATGTATATATATACATATGTATGTATATATGTGTATATATATACATATGTATGTATATATATATACAAACATATATATATATATACATACATATGTATATATATACACATATATACATACATATATGTATATATATACACATATATACATACATATATGTATATATATGCATATGTATGTATATATATATACAAACATATATATATATACATACATATATGTATATATATGCATATGTATGTATATATAAAGTATGTATATATGTATGTATATATATATATATATATGTTTGTATATATATATACAAACATATATATATACACAGTATGTATCTTATCGTAAGTTGAGTGTATCGTTACAACTGCCTACTGCCATGAATGCCTGTGGTGCAGATGTGGCGGGTGACAATTAAAGCGTATCCCTGATTGGAGTGGCCACATAAAGAGGACCTGACTTCACGCCGATCATAAATCAATGCCCCTCTGTGAATGTAATTAACCTTATCTGGATCTACAAATGACTGCCCTAGAGCCATCGCCCACTGCATCAGCGCTGGCGCTGACGTCACGTCACGTCCGACCCCCGAGTGCACCGACCTTCTCTGCGTCCTGTTCAAAAAGGCGGAGCTGGAAGCACTGATCCAGCTGGAGCTTGCGTATGTGCCAGGCCTGGTGGAGGTGCTGTCGCGTGGAGTGCAACTTGTCCAGCAGCTGGGTGATCCGTGGCACCAGACCTTGGGTGTCGGTATTGCACACCCCGCTCCCGCTGCCGCTGCTGCTGCTGCTGCCGCCGCTGCCGCCCGTGCTGCCGTTACGGTTGGAGAAGGACTCGCTGCTCTGGATTTGCTGCAATAACCTGCGAGTGGGTTCATTTTACAGGTGGAGAACTCAAATTCAATGCATTTTTTTTTTGTTTTACTTTATAGTCCTGTAGTAGCAGAACGAGGCATTTTACAGCAGTGTTTCCCAAACTTTTTTTTTTCTGGGGACCCATATTGTAAAAGTCGCAAACCTTCGCGACCCAAGTCAATAGACATTATTCGTAAACTCCCGGGAAACACGATGCGAGGCAACTCAAAACAGACTTTGGGAAACAATGTTTTACAGTATCCAATAAATCATTACATTACATGAATGTATACATCAATATCAACAAATGGCTTAAAAGAATTAGAGTTTTATAAATTAATATTAATAACTATTCAGAGGCTAAATTAAAGCACTTATATTTTTACTAACAATATTGACTAGCGTAATACCGTGCTCACCTCTGTCCCTCGGTGTCCAGCTCCTCTATAGGGGCTTTAATGACTTTCTTCTTCAGCGCGGCGTGCTCTTCTATCATTCTTCTGGCTCCCTCCAGGTCTTGGGGGAAGTCCTTCCTCGACACCGTCTCCTGCATCTCCTCCAGCCTTGCCAGCATCTGGGTGGCGTGACCGGAAAACTCCTCGAAGGCCACGCGCACCTGCGCGAGTGACAATTAGAATCAAGTTCTGGTTGTTAGAGTAAACGTAAAAAGACACACGCTGAGGCATAGAAGGAGGTTTTTTTTCTTACTTCTATCCACTCCTCGTGGTTGTAGTCCAGACTGCCATCGAAGTCTGCTGTCAGCTGGGAGGGGTCCACAACCTTTGTCAGGCCCTCTAATGACACCATTGTGGTCTGGAAATGACAGAAAATGAAGATTTAGAGGAGAGCGTTTTCTGCTTTCAGTTGATAGTAAATTGTATCATTTTCTATGGACGGCACGATACAACTACTTCATCTTCATTCGTCTGATACCGATATTGCAACTTTGTACATCTGCCGATACCGAAGCGATGTTTACGATGTCGCACAAAGAGTTGGCAATTTCAGCTGAGGTATCTGATCAGACAGGCTATAGTACGTTTTTTGTTTTTGATGGTTGATCCTGAAATTTTGACCAATATCAGACCAATTCGGATCCTAGATATCGAACGAGCCATCACTTCATAATTTTAAATATTTTTCTATGTAGTAAAAGAAAAAAAAAATGAAGTACTGATTTAGTACTAATACATTGTAATTTTTACACCCAGCACCAAAACCGAATCTTGTTGATGTCTTTCCATTAGCATAAAACGTACAATTTGATCTCGTGTAATTTCACTGCATTGAACATCAAACTAACATGCCTCCGTGTTTGTTTTCATTTCTGTTGCATTTCTGCTGAGCCTCCTCCACAGCTGCACCCCACACACATGGCCAGAGATGGACGGTAAGAACGACAGAACTCATCGCTCTGTGTGCGTGCCTGAGAGTAATGCAGGGAGCACGCTAATGGACTCGGGGTGAAAAAGCTCTGTGGCTTTGCGGGGAAGTTAAAAAAAAACCCCCACTAATACTGTAATAGTGTTGAAATTCTTCAGGTTCATCATTACAGAGCCTGCTGAGCGGTGAGGAATGACAGAATGTTGACGTCACGTAGAAGAGTTTTCCTAGCGCTCTTTCTCTTTGCTTCGAGTCTGAATGTCAGTTAAATAAGTGAGAACATTACTGCCCACGTAAGAAGCTTATTTTCTTCTAGATATTTTCAACATTTTTTTTTTTTATTCTAATAAACAAACAGAGGTCTATTTGCACAAAGCTAGACGAACACTGATGCGAGGAACATGTAGCTAATCAATGTCAGTGCGGGATACGGCTGCTGGTGATAATTAAAGCCCGGCCTGATTGAAATAATCGATAAATTATCATCAGGCTACAGGGGCAATCAGAGCAACTTCCACAGCAACAGCCAGATGGAGGGGGAACAAAACCGACAGCACTTGGACTTAAGTTTAAAAATTAAAGCCGCATTAAAGGGAGCTTACTAAACAGACATGTGGTCGGAGAATGGATTCATTATTGTTTAAAGGGAGAAGTAAATCATTCGACGTATGAAAGAATCCAAATTTTCAAATGACAATTTTAACGCTTGTCTTCCTGATTTACAGTTCGGCAGCTGACTGATGAAGTACACATTTAAGGCAGGGTGAAAATAGAATTCTAATATGCTTCCAAAAAAAAAAAAATGCAGCTCAAACCGATACAGCAGCTGCTATCGCCGGCTCAGCTGAATGAGAAATGCAAAGTAGACTAAAAAAGTCAAAATTAGATCACAACATTTTTCTATACAAATCTGTAAAAAAAAAAAAAAAAAAAAAGTCAAATTCAAATATTTGTAGCTTTAAATTTCATCATCAAGCTTCAATCTAAAAAAAAAAAAAAAAAAAAAATGAACACACTTATTTATTGTTTTAAGACACTACGCTGCACAAACTGGGACAGCCCCGATGTTTATCTGCAGTCCAGAGACAGAACCAAAAGGCTTTCTGCCACTCACCTCAAATTCAAACTTGGAGCTGCCAAAGTTGGTCCTCTGCTTCTGCCAGAAGTTGTCTGGCTTGATGATGAGGGCGACGTGGATGCAGGACGGAAAGGACTCCTGGAGGATCTTCAACAGCGGTTTGATGCTGTCCCACTTGGAGCCACGCATGTCAACGATAACCGTGAAGCCATGTTTACACACCTCCTCGCTGCGAGAGGAGGAGGAGGAATGGCGAAAGAAAAGGGAGAGGAAGGAGGGGCGGAGGGAGATTGTAGGGGATATAATCCAGATTGGGGGAGGGAGGGAGGGCGAGGGGGGGGGGTCAGATGACAGGCGTAGGACGGGATGAGAGCGGGATGATGGAGGGGGTGGGAAAATAAAACACAACAGGGAGAGAAGTGGTTCATTAAAATGAAACCAGGGTGATAAAAATCAAGAATCGTTAAAAAAAATAATAATAACGCACTGACAAGACACACATACGCCCACGGAGACACAGACGCCCACGGAGACGCGCACACCCAAACAGACACTTACACCCACAGTCACAGACGGACGCAGCGCCGCAAACTCTAACGTACATTTGATTATTCCTATTTGGCCCACCGACACTTCTGCTTTTCCACCTTTTTACCCTGAAACATCAAACATTGTCCATCTGAGCGTCAAACACCGCTTTTGAATTATCTCTAATTTTAGCAGTCGGTGTCTCTGTATGTGGAGACAGCAGGGGCGCGAATGTTGTCCCTCCCGTTATAGAACAGGTTTGGAGGGAAGGGAAAAAAGAAAAAAAGAAGAAGAAGCTGCACAACTGACAAGTTTTGAAACATGATGACTGTGACTATTCCATGTCTGAGAGTTAAAAAAAAAAAGGTAACAAACCATGCACCGCCATACAGAATCGTCACACTACAAACAAAGAGTGGAGAAACGGAGGATCTGGAGAAGAGTTTACCTGGGAGGTGATGCTCACAGCCGTTTCTGCTGCTACACTGCTCCAGCTACTGCGACACTTTGTTTTTGCTCCCTCGCTCGTTCCCTCTCTCCCTCCCTCTCTCCCTCTCTCTCTCTCACACACATACACACCTCACACATGCGCTCTCTGTCTCCGTCTCTCCTAATTCCTCCATCCATCTCTTCCCCCCCTCCTCCTCCTCCTTTCTAACCCTAATTTTTGATATTTGTAAATAAAAAAAAAAAACCCACCCAATTCATATCCCAGGCTAACGCGCTACGTCATAGCATTCCATATTTGTCCTGCATCGATTACTTGAGTGGCGGAGAAGCTCAGTAACCAGCTGAGTGATTCCTCCTCTCGTTCTTCCTCGGCTTCTCACATGCTCGCCTCGGCTCACTCACGTGTTTCCCTCATCCCCATGCTCGGTGTGTTTGCACCATTTTTTCTACCTCCCCCCCCTACGCACCCACACACACACAAACACCAGAATGCACTTACAGATTACAGACATTATGTAATTAATTTCTAACCTGGGGATGCCGGCGAGGTAGGCAATCAGTCTCCTCAGGTCGTCTGTTCGTATTCTGTCGTGGTTGCTGCGTGATGGAAATGTTAATACCGGACCACCTCGTCTGTCTCTGCCACCTGAGATAAACAAAAAAAAAGTTTTTTTGGGGGGGTTTTTAAATTCTATAAAAACCCTCAATGTTCTCATGCACAGGAAATGTCAAAAAAAGCGCCCTATAACATCAACCTCCCAGTTATATTTGGTTTACGGAGTCAGCAGAATCCTAACAAGGCAGAGAGTCAGAGTCCTGGGAAGATGTTTCTGTTAAATTAAATGGTCTTGGCCGGAGATGAACTATTGATTTTTGATTGGCTAAAGAAGCTAAAGAAACCGGGAGTTATTGGACAACTAATCGCCCAAATGCACCGAGCGTCATCATCACCGAGTAAGAAATGAAACACGGCAACAATACATGATGTGTTCCCTGATCCCTACAAATGAAGTCATTCACAGTTGAAGAAAAATATTCATATAAAATAATAAAATAGTCAATCAGAGAACTTAATCTATTTTTTTTAAGTATTACCCGTATTATAAGTATTGTTATATATTTTAGTATATATATATAAGTATTATATATTTCTGACGTAGTGTTTTTGGAAAAAATACCAAATTTTGTTTTTTTTTTTAGCTATGTTGAAATCACGATTAATAATCACGATTATTCGTTACGTCGGGAAAACATATTTTTGTTGCATTTTCTATATTAAACCAACAGTACGTGAACGCGGCTTTCAGTTCAGACTAAAACATTTTAAAAAAAGATAACCCATTAATAATATGAAAGATTTTACCCTTTAGACAAATAATAATGTTCTATATTAAACCAACAGTACGTGAACTCGATTTTACCCTTTAGAGAAATAATAATGAAAAATAAATATACTATTGACCATTTACAAGGAGGGACAGGGACACGCCTTTGACCAAAAAAAAAATTGAATCTGTTAAGGTTGACGTTAGCCGTTAGCTTTAGCCTTTAAGCATCCATTGTATTTGAATTTAAGGTGGGTTTTTTTTCAGGTGGTTGAATAGGTTTGTTGTGTTGCCTTGTCGCGCTCAATCCGATGCTAATCACCAATATCACGATCGTGTTCAATACGTCATCATTTGCGTGGTCCTAATATACACCCCGAAAAAAACTTAGTTTAGTGCACAGGCTAGGTAAAAATCCTGCAGCTGCCGAGGATAATCAAGGTCTGCTGCATTCCTCTTCTGGGAATAATGACGGGCTGTAGAAAAAAAAAAATTGTGTAACAGCTTCAGCTCCCTCTCTCTCTCACACACACACACACACACACCAGCCATTCAGTCAATTAAATATAACACTGTCGTCGAATTGGGGGTTAGGTAACACTCACTGTGCGCAGTAGACAGACAAATCACCGTGTCTGTATATCTGTGTGTTATAATACTAATATTTGGCTCGTAGTATCAGAGTATTGCAGAAACCGAGCACGGCATCAGTCATGTGGGGGGGGGATTGTAAACACAGGCTGACTGTCCTCAGCCCACAGAAGTAGTGAGTCAACGTGTGTCGCTGTAAAATCGTATGGGTGGTCAAACAGGCAGGAATCAGTCGGCGCAAACATCCATGGAGGGGGCTGGATCTGAAATGATGGGTTTGGCTCATTTACCGCTGCTCTTCAATAGCGCTCCCTTCTCCTCCTCCTCCTCCTCCTCCTCCTCCCCTTCTCTTCCTTACTTCGAGGCAAGCCTCTTTATCGACTGCTATGAGAAGCAGTGGCTGACAGTAAGTCATCTCCATGGCAACGCTGCCTTGTCAAGTCATGTCAAATTTATTTATATAGCGCGTTTTTTTTAAGACATCACAATCGTCCCAATCCCGTCTCCAATCTCAATATCCGTCCAGCCGTCTGGGTCATTGCGCTCATCACTCTGCACTTTTGCCTACGACGTTTACTGCTCACTTGCACGTAATGCCCACCCATGTGATAAAACGCACGGGCGCGCCATTTTTTATACACATAAAATACTTCTGGTGGGCCGCAGTTGAGCGCTAACGCAGACTGGTGTTAACGCTGCAGTAAAGTATTGTAGCGTATGCCTTTCTGACGGTTATGCTGACATGTCAGGACACTAAAACAGAAACAGAACCGTTCATCGCGCTACTCACTTAATTCATGAAGATGAATCAGATTTTCAATTTTAACTAATTAAAAGGCACGGACAGAGTGATGCATACTGCATATTCCATCAATTTCATCGGCTGTAATACGCAGCGCATACACACTGTGTGTGCAAACATTGCTTTAAAACGTCGCTCGGTAATAACTACAATCTGCCGACTCTGTGAGGCAAAACATTCATTTATACTTTTGCACGTTATTGTTTGGATAAAAACAGGTGTGACACGCGTACATTGAACTGAACTTCCAGCAATTTACAGAATGTTTTGTCTTATCTACTGTGCTACTCTATGATTATTCCGATAATTCTCATTTTCGGAAGCCCTAGTTTTGACTGCAACTGCGTGAAGGGAAATATTGCCGATAAACAGTACTTTATTTAATTTAGGTGTACTAATTTATTCATCTAGCAGTCGTCTTAGAATAGAATTTTTGCAACACATGTTTAATAAATCATAATTAAACATTTTAATTATAATTGACAGACACTTACCTGATAAAAAGGCTACTTTTTCCTTGAGGATGGGGAGCACTTCCATTGCTCTCATCTCCTCATTTCTCTTGAAAACTGAAAATACAAGACAAATAAAAAAAAAAACAGTCAAAGTTCAGCCACTACATGTTATTGTTAAGGCACGATTACTGTAGTAAAATCACTTAATACTCAAAAAAAAAAATACACAGAAAAAAACAGACATATAATCACCAAACAGATGGCGTGAAAATGCAATTCAAACACTAATAGTATGGTCTTCAATCTAAAAAAAATAAAAAAATAAAAAATAAATAAATAAATTTGAACCATATTGATCCCATATTATGTTCACAGCTGATATGCTATGTTACTCTGGGAATCAAACCCAGGACTCTCTGCTCACTGCTTCCGAGGCAGGCGTGCTAACCGCTACACTCTGGAACCTAACAGTCATCGAGGCCTAACTTGACATTACTTTTCCATTGTATTTTTTTGTTTTTTTTTTAAAACCATCAAACGACATTAAAAACACACTCCACCTCTAAAGTGATGAGCCCAACGTGTCAGCTCCTTCAGTACAAACACACACACCCACATACACCAAAACACACTCAGAGTTTTTTGGCGTTCGGTGTTTGATGAGCACTTCACAAAAATATGGCATCACGGCCAATTAAATACGACGATGTAATTAGTAGATGTCATTTTCAGCCTTAGTGGCCGTCACTCGGCGATTATGGTCATCTATATGGTGCCGAGAGACGAACGCGCAACGGAAGAAAGGATGTTCAATTCTTGTCTCGGAGAACTGCGGTGAACTGGTAAGACACCCAAACTGCTTATCAGGAATTGCATAACGGAGCATTACAGTAAATACAAAGTAGGTGGGTGGAGTAACATCTCCATCAGCCGTTAATGCTGCGCTGATGCAAATGCTTTCCACCGTGTCTGTCTTT